GGAAAGAGCCAGAAGTGCTGGGAGCGGTGGTGGGGGCGAGGGATGTGAGTAAATGAAAGAGAGGTCCCGGGTGATGAGGGTGGGCTCAGAGCCCGGGGGAAGGGCTGGCTCTGACCAGGCACAGGGCTGGACCTGTTATCTAGCCAGGAGGAAAGCCAGGAAGATGGGCAGGGAGGCCGACAAGCCTGTAACCTGCTGAGAAGGAAGCTGAGAGCCTCCTCGGACAGTGAAGATGGAGCTGAGGTCGCTTCCTGAGACACGCGGCAGGCGTGGTTGGGTAGGGGCTGGAGGAAGTCAAGAATGCCTGAGATAGGTAGGAAGCCCCCACAGCCCGCTGGCAGGCCTTGGGTGACCTCAGGAGCAGAGCGGTGAAGGTCCCAGCCCTGCTCTTTTACCCCAGTGTGATCCTGCAAGTGTCCAGTGGCTGCCGGGTCTTGGTTTCCTCAAGCACAAAACAAGGCAGAGGCCTGAGAAGACAGGGGAGTCTCCCTGCACTAAGTACGTCGGTTCCAAGGCCTTCCCTGAGGGTGCAGAGGACATTCTCTAGCAGCCCCAGGAAGGGGAGATGACCTCCCATTTGGTGAGGGAGATGGGAAAGAATGGCAGTCCCGGGAGACTGGATGGAGAATGAGAGAAGCAGGAGCCGCAGAGCATTGGGTGTTTGCAGAGCACAGTCTGGTCTGCAGGGCGTGGTCGGAGCGAACCGGATTGTGGGTGGGGCAGGAGCTTTGCTTGTAAAGATGGGCTAGGACCACAGTAGGGTAAACATTCCCATTACTACCACCGCATGCTGCCTCTTATCAACCACTCCATAGAGGCTTTTTTATCAATCCCATTTTACAAATTGGGAGAGAAACTCAAAAGGGCAAAGCAAACCTGGTTTTACAGACCTGAGTCAGGCCCAAGGCTCCAGACAGATGGTGGGTCAGGTTCTGGATAGGAATAGTCTAGTGTTGACTCCCCAAGAACTGGCTCTCTCATGGACAGCGGGTCATTTCTGAGGGTCAGTGATGCCATCGGTCAAGTACGATGATTATGGAGATAATGGATATCCTGTTTCCAAGGAGGACCAGCAGGTTCAAATGCCCAAGGAAACACATGGCCAGTTGAGCAGAGTCGGACAGATGGGCTTTGCTGGTAGCCGTTCAAGCCTTGGCTCAACAACTTGGCCTTGTACTTCACCTCCAAAGAGCTGTACGATTCTGCCATCCTACCACTCCATGTTTTGCCAAAGTGACTTCTGGCAAGGGAATCATGTTCTGTGGGCTCTTCCTCCATTCACAACCCATGCACCCAAATGCACACCCTCATTGCTAAGGTCCCAGATGAAGCAGAGCCAAACCCTCCTATTTCAAGATGAAGATTCAAAATCAGCTCTAAGTGGAAGAATGACTACTGGAGTCTGCGAAGGGTGAGGGTCTGGGATACAGGGATGTTGGTCACAAACAAAATTACAGCTATTAATAGAATGCTGGCCCTGTGGGCTAGTGGCGAAGGGATCCAAATCCCACATGGCCAACAACAGTTCAAACCTCAACCCTGGCAGCTTGAAAAACATGCTGGGCATGTGTGTGCTTTCTTAAAATCCCAATAGGATGGAGGTATGGAGGGGAACGGATTGGGGTGTCACCATGCCCCATGAAGGGTATCCCCCTACCCTGTCCATCCATTTCTCTCTGGCAAGAACATATACTCTTCTAGCCATTAAAAAATAAATAAATAAGAAATTTAAAAACAAACAAACAAACAGACAGACAAGAGCCAGGCAGTGGCATGGAGATTAAGAGGGCTGGATCCCACATGATGGACTGCATGGTTTGAGCCCCGGACCCGGGGCTGAGCATATATGCGAGCATGCCCAAAATCCCAAGAGGAGAATGGAAAAGATGGGATCGTGGTATGGGCATTTTAAAAAGAAAAAAGCATTACTGATAGATAAGAGAAAAAATTTCTAGTGCTATAAAATACAGTAGGGTGACTATAGCTTACAACAATTTATTGTATATCTCACAGTAACTAAAAAGGAGGATTTCTTTTTTTCATAAGAGAGAGACTTTGGAATGTTCCCAAAGCAAAGTAGTAACGAACGGTTGAGATGACAGCTATGCTAATTTCCCTCATTTAATAATCACACGTTGTCTTCTTGTACTGAAAAATCCCACTGTACCCCACAGAAACGTATAATTTATATATCAATTTTTTAAAAATAAAAAGCAACTGTAAAGCTGATGATAAACCGAGCTTCAAAGGTAGGGAACGCCCTCTTCCCTACGGGCAAGCACGAAATATGGCAGGTATGATTGTAGCCTCACCAATGGATGAGAAATGAGACCCAGTGTGTTCAATCATTTAGGAAGGAAAAGAATTACAGAAACAATTCCAACTCTATTCGGTCTTCATGAGTCTGGCCATCAATTCTATTTCATTTGCCAGTAAGAAAAATTAAGGATAGGGTAGAACATGGAAATAAGCAGCTATGGTGGGACAACAAAAAACGAAAGACAATCACTCACTCTTATCACTTCCTCAACCCCACAAAGAGCCATTCAGGAGGGTCTAGAAAACATGTCATTTCTAAAATATGCTGTAAGGATAAGGGTTTTATTGTGAGCCCTTCTAAAAAATGCCAACATGGGACACACTTTAGTTCCCCACTGGAAAATGTTTCTCAATTGGTATAAATATCAACCTAAGTGATTTGACCTGAGCTTTAAGAATCACAGAAAAGATATGACAATGTGTCTAGACACACCATGACTTACAGTTTTCGCGACCCTCCAGGCTGGAACCTAGAAGAGACAGAAGGAAGATGTTGAGTCGGAAGCTTCAGTTCTCTTGAAGCGAAAGAGTGGGGACAAGGTGAAAACTCACAGAGCGCCAGCGTCAGCAGGACCAGCCGCATCTTGCCTGCTCGAGCCCACCCCAGCTGCATCCTGAGAGCGAAGAGGGCCGGTTAGTTCTGCCCACAGGCCATGCCTCGAGGCCGGGAGGTACTTCCCACACGCTGCAGACGAGAGACCTTCCCGTGCAAAGCAGAAATCACTCTTGTAACTTCTTCTCCCGGCGCCTGCAGAGAGACTGGAGGTGGCGCTGGTCAGGTAATGGCGGCCATTGCTGGAAACAGGGAACAATGAGGTCTGGGCTGGCCTGATAGCTCCTCAGGAAATGACTGGCCTTCCTGAGGGGCCACTGAACGCAGTCGCTTTGTTTAGTTTCTTTGGGGTGGGGGGAGGCACAAGGGACATTAGCCTTGGAGTTCTTGACCCTCCTCCTCTGTCTCGCCTGGATTTGGGCGCCCTTTCTCATGACAGGATGAGGGGTTCTTCCCTTTCTCCAGCCCCCACCCAAAGGGCTTCGCTCCTTGGACACCCAGAAATATCCCTCTGCTTTTCCCATGGTCCCTCCACCCCAGGAGACCACGGCATAAATCTGGGTCCCCACCTTTCCTGGGCTGACTTTTCCAAAAACTGGAAGGGCTTGTCAAGGAGACCTGCCCAGCAGGGGCGGGTGAGCTAGGAAATCAGTGGAACTCAGTGGAACCCCACCATGGGTTTTGGTGTGGATGATTAGGCCACCCTGTGAGGTGTCCACACCACCCAGAGGTCCTGTCAAACACACAGATATCGTACCAGGCCACAGGGAGCTTTCTAAGATATAGTCAGTGCCATCCACTTTCCTGTACGAACTTGTGATGGCTTCCCTCTGCCCTCCAGAAAAAGTCAGGTTACAACCCTCCACAGTCCAGTTCCTTGCTTAATTTTCTAGCGCAATCCCTCGTCGCTCCCTCCTTACCTGGCCTCCACATTCCGGTTGCTAGAGTCGATGGTACCCAGAATGCAGCGCACATCTGTCCTTTTGCCAACGCTGTTCCCTTGCCTGGAGTGCCATGGCCTCCCATTTTTCTTTGCTAGCTAATTCCTAGCCATCCTTCCTAACTTAGTTCAGGCATCGACTCCTCTAGAACATTCCCTAGCATCCCATGACTTTGCTGTTCTTCCTCTGTGCCCTCCACCACCCCCACCTTCCTGTGAGACCCCGTCTACAGCGTGCAGAGACAGCTTGTCTTCTCCCAGTGGACTGCCCGCTTCTTGAAGGCAGGGACAGAGCTCGGTACCCCAGAAAATGAGCAAAAAGCATGAACAGAATGGTTGGTTATCAAGGCGAATGAAGACAAGTTACTGCAGCTCTAAATGAAATGACCATTGCCTTGAAATCAGAGTGCCACGTTGTTTCTTTCTTTTTTTTTCCCTAAATTTGCCAGAGAGCACGTGTGCCTGCCTGAGGGGGGGGGGTAAGAAAGCACTCCACATGGGAGACGGTCATGTCACAATCCCTTCTCCACCACTCTCCTCCTGGGATTTGGGGCCGGTGCGCCTGGCATGAATTTCAAGCCGCCAAGTCCAGGACTTAAACCACAGTCAGCCATGTGGGACTCAGCCACCTTAATCACGGGCTGGCCTCTATGTTGTTTCTGAACTATCACCCTCGAGGACTTCCACATGAGCTAGGACAGATTTGAATTGGGGGCTAGAACCCAGACTTCTCTGCCTCAGGGCAAGTACCAAGAAAGAATGACTTCCAGCTAGAAAGCAATTTCTCTCTCGGATCCACAGCTCGGTGGGAACTGTGGGAAGAGCTGTTGGCGAGCAATGCGCGGAGCCCACTTGTTTCTAAAGGAATGTTTTCTATCGTTTATTTTTTGTTGCTATTGCTTTGTGTTCCCCATTCCCCACTATCAGCTATCTTTTCTGACTACCTACTGGAAACTAGCCCCACCCACAAAAAGAAAGGATTAATAACATGAATATTGAGTTCAACTGGTAACTTCTGGATTTTCTAGAGTAAGCAACTTTTGCATCTCAGAATGACACTCAAGTGATAGTGATAAATGTCTGGACTCCATTCCCTTCAGAAAGAGAGAGAGGAGGAGCCAGCAGATGGCATAATGGTTATGCTGCTGGACTCCCACATGGTCAACCACAGTTCGAATCTTGGACCCAGTGGCTTCAAACTCATGCCAGGCGCATGTGCGTGTGTGCTGAAAATCCCAAGAGAGACTAGAGAAAGGATTGCAGCATGGCCATTGCCCTGGGGGGTGATTTCTTGCTTTCTGTCTCTCTGGTGAGCACATGTGCACTACAGCAAAAAAAAAAAAATCTCCATTTTTTAAAAAAACGAATTATTTATTTAATTCCATTTGTTATAATTATTTTTCAATTTGACCAGAGAGAGAGAGAGAGAGAGAGAGAGAAAGTGAGAAAGCAAGCCACCAGGTCTGGGACTCGAACTGCGGTCAGCCATGTGGGAATTCAGTGCCTTCCTTCCGCCCCCCCCGCCCCCTGCCAGCCCCTAGCAAAAATCTCTCTTAAAAAAAGAGCAAGAGTGAGGAAGGAGAACGCGCCCCCAATGGGGTATAGTCATGTCACAATCCCTTCTCCATTTCTCCACCCTGTTGAGATTCTGTGCACACATAACACTTGTGCCCTCCAGACCTGGTGGCTTTCAGGCCTCCAGACCTGGAATTCAAGCCACAGTCAGCCATGTGGGATCTGGTTCCCTTACCAGAGCACAAGGCCACCCCAGTCAGTCTCTTTAATTAACCATTTCGGTGGAATATATAGAGATATCCTATTATGGTTTAATTGGCATTTTCCTGATGACTGCTAGTGAGCATATTTTCATGTGTTTATTTATTATATCATAAGTCAGTTAAATCTTTTACCCAATTTTTAATTAGGATGTTTTTCTTTTTTTTTAATTTGGTATTTATTAAATCAATATAATGCTCAAATTTGTAAAATGTTTGATAGTCTATAGAACTATTATTTAGAACAAAATTTCATTTATATAATTTACAAGTGAATATTCAACTATATTCAAAGAGTTTTACAGATAGGATTCATGATCAATACATTTCCTTTCCTAACTAATTATTTTGGAAGATTTCAAGTTAATACAACAATTTTAAAGAATAACATAATGGGTTCTTTTTAACCCTTCATGTAGATTGTTAACACTTTACTTATTACTACATTTTGCCTAATGAGAGAGAGAGAGAAAGCTTTTATTTTTTCCAAATCGTCTGACAGTGAGTAGCAAACATCTTGACACTTCACCTCTAAAAGGATGTTTGTTTTCTTAGTATTACATTTATAGAGTTCTTCACATATTCTAGATACAAGTCCTTTATCAATGATGTGTAAATATTTTCCCCAGTTTGTGGCATGTCCTTGAATCCTCTTAAAGGATGTCCTTTGACGAGCACAAGTTTTCACTTTAATACATTAAGTCCACTTTGCCCATTTTTTCCTTTTAGTGTCACATCTAAGAACCGTGTGCCTAACCCGAGGTCACACAGATGTCCTCCTGCTCTCACATGTAGATCTATCATCCATCGTGAGTTAGCTTTTGTATGTCATGCAAGGCATGAAACAAATGGCATACTTTTTCTTTGTATATAGATGTCTACTTTTTTCCAGCACCATTTGTTAAAAAAGACTATCCTTTCTCAAGTGAATTCTTTTTTAAAAAGAATTATGTATTTAATTTTTTTAAAAATTTGCTCTAGGACATGAACACTCACCAGAGAGAAATGGGGGGGAGGGGGTAAGAAAGCCCGCCAGGTTAGGATTTGAACTGTGATCGGCCATGTGGGAGTCCAGCACCTTAACCACCATGCTACCTGCTGACTCTCTTGAGTGAATTCTTTTGAATTCTTTGTTGAAAGCCAGTTGCCCATATATGCGTGAGTTTATTTCTCAAGTCTGTACTTTGTTCTAGGGATCTGTTTGTCTATCTTCATGCAGTACCGCGTGGTCTGGGTTACTGCGATACATCTTAAAGTCAGTGTTAGTTCGCAAATATTATCTTTCCTTTTTTACTCACTGGGGCCGTTCCAAACCCAATTTCCATATGAATTTTTAGATCGGCTTGTTAATTTCTACCTCCAAAAAAGAAAAAGTCCTCCACATTTTTTTTTAAAGGTTTTTGTCATAGGACTTGTTTACTTGCCAGAGAGAGAGAGAGAGAAAAAGTAAGAAATCCCCAGGGGGGCGGCCACTCCGCAATCCCTTCTCCTCCATTCCCTCTTGAGATTTTGGGCACACATCCATACACACCCGGCAAGTTTCTCAAGCTGCTGGGTCCGGGACTTGAATCACGTACTTGGTCATGCGAGAGCCAGTTGCCTTAACCTCCACACCACCAGCTGGCCTGCTCCCTTCTCTTCACCTCATGGGATGGGTGGACAGACACAGAGAAGCTTGTACTCCTGCCTTCAAACTCCGAAGTGCAACATGGACCTGGTCAGTGATTCATTAAATCACATAAATAAAGCTCCCTGCTGGAATCTACCTCAGGAAGTGGGGTTTTTTTCCTGAGTAGCTGGGGTGGGGCATGTGGGGAGGGGCCGGCAGGGCCAGGCAGGCAACAGATAAGTCAGAGAGCTACAGGCACCAGGGAAGAGAGACCTCCCATCTATTTCACAACCACAGTGGTCAGAAATAAGATCCAAGGCCATGTCCCCAGCCTGTGGCCATGGGCCTGAACAGTCCTGGAGAGATGATACGTGGGACTGATCCTTGTCCACTCATCCCCGACCACACCCCAGCCAGGGAAGGTGCATGTACCAACGTGCAAATCAGAAGCCTGAGTTTCCAGTCCCTCCTCTGCAGCTGAAGAGCTAAAAGTTTTGAGGCTCACATTCTTCCCTCTAAAACCAGAGTAAGGCACGCCATCTACCCATCACGCAGGCCTGCTAGGAAGATCAAAGGACAGCTAGTGATTGAAAGCACATTCCACCAGCAGAGCACAGTAAGAACAAGGAGAACAACAGTGACAAGAATAGTTGCTGGGCCGGCAGGTGGACTGCTGGTTAAGGTGCTAGACTCCCACATGGCCGACTGCATGATTTGAGTTCCCAACTCCGGCCTGAAAAATGGGCTGGGCACGTGCTTGTGTGTGTGTGTGGCGGGGGGAGAACAGAGAAGGATTGGTGTAACCATCCTCCCCAGGGAGTGTGATTTCTTTCTCTCTCTCTCCCTCTCCAGAAAGTACACTTGCCCTGTGACAAAAAAATCTAAAAACAAACAATAGCTCCTGGTCTGGTTTGGACCCCAGCCTGCTCCACCTAAATGGATGCTCAGGTAACTCTGCTGTCTTAATGGGCTCAGATGGAGGGGCTCAATGCCCCCCTCAACCTTCCCCCTACACCCGTGCTGCCCTCCTGGTCTCTGCCTGGCCCCTCTCAAAGGTAGGCAGCTGGGCAAAAAGGAGGCAGGCAGAAGGGGTTGTGCTATTCCATCTCCTCCAGTGACAGGGACAAGGTTGTATCAAAACACATGGCTGAAGACATTTTTCCCTTCACAGACCCCTTTCTCCATAAGAAAATATTTTAATTGTATTTTATAACTGTATTAGTAAAAACAAGAACGTATCAGTATTATATATTAAAACATTTCTTGGGCCAGCAGGTGGTGTGATAGTCAGGGCACTGGACTCCCACAGGACCGACCATGGTTTGAGTCCCAGATCTGGTGGCTTGCTTTCTAACTTTCCCACTCTCTCTCTCTCTCTTTCTGATAAATGAAAAGTAACAATCATAATACTAGATAAAACTAAAGAAATAATTCTTTAAAAAAATTCTTTGACTTCAGATTTCTTTTATATTCTTCTACTTTAAAAACGTATTCTTTCATGGGCCCCTTAAAGTGTGATGGGTCCTGGCAGCGTGCCTCCTGGGCCTACTGGAAAAGTCAGCCTCAGTACCAAATCGTTCACACGACAGTCCCAGAGCCAAGGGGCCTGTGTTCTTCCACCCTGAGTGGCCAGGCCACTGGCCTAGAAAGACGGAAAGAGCACCACTGTGTCCCAGGCACTGAAGCAAAAGAGATATTTGTTCATTCTGTTCTCAAGAGTGCAAAAGCACAAGCAACAATATTAAAAATTAGATAAACTGGACTTCATCAATATAAAAATCTTCCTGTGTTGCAAAGGACACCACCAAGAAAATAAAAGGTAATTCACAGAGTGTAAGAAGCATTTGGAACCCATACATCTGATAAGAGATTAGAATCAAAATACATAAAGAATTTTACAACTCGGGAACCAGTAGTTAGCGTAATGGCTATGTCGCTGGACTCCCACGTAGTCGACCGCGGTTCGCGTCCTGGACCTGGTGGCTTAAAACTCACGCCAGGCACGTGTGCGTGTGTGCCCAAGATCCCGAGAGGTGAATGGTGGAGAGGGGGTTGCAGCGTGACCATTCCCCCTGGGGGGTGATTTCTCGCTTTCTGTCTCTCTGTCTCTCTCTGTCTGTCTGGTGAGCGCACACGCCCTATAGCGAAAAACCTCTCCCCCCCCCCCAAAAAAAAAAAAGAATTTTACAACTCAACAGTAAAAAGACGATCGTTTTTTTAAAAATGGGCAAAGGGAACCAGCATACGGCATAGCAGTCAGGTCGCTAGACTCCCCCATGGCTGACTGCAGTCTGAGTCCCTGACCCAAGGGCTTGAAAATCACACTGGGCGCCTGTGCATGCATGCGCCCAATCCTGGAGGAGAAAGGGTTGCAGTGAGGCCATCCCCCTCAGGGGGTGACCTGTCACTTTCCCTCTCACTATGTCTGTCTCTTTCTCTCTGGCAAGCGCAAGCGGCCTAAGGCAAAAACCTCTACCAAAAAAAAAAAAAAGGGCAAAGGATTTGAACAGACATTTCTCCAAAGAAGATAAACAATAAGCATATGAAAAGATACTCAACGTCTTTACTAGTTAAGAAATTATAAATCAAGGGAACCAGCAGTTAGCGTAATGGCTATGTCACTGGACTCCCCCGTAGTCGACCGCAGTTCGCATCCTGGACCCGGTGGCTTAAAACTCACACCGGGCACGTGTGCGTGCGTGCCCAAGATCCCGAGAGGAGAATGGAGAAGGGATTGCGGCGTGGCCATCCCCCCTGGGGGGTGATTTCTCACTTTCTGTCTCAATGTCTCTCTCTGTCTGGCGAGTGCACGCGCCCCGCAGTGAAAATCTCTCCAAAAAAAAAAGGAATTATAAATCAAGAGCCGCCAGGTGGTGTGGTGGTTAACGGCACTAGACTCTCACAGGGCCGATTACAATTCACTTCCAGGACCTGGCGGCTTGCTTTCTCTTTCTCTCTCTCTCTTTCTCTCTCTCTGTCCCTCTCTGGTCAAATTTAAATAAATAAATAAATAAAGTTAAATAAAATAATTCTTTTTAAAAATTATAAATAAAAAACACAGTAAAGGGGGGCCAGTAGGTGGCACGGTGGCGCGGTAGCAGAGATTGGAGTGCTGGACTCCCGCGTGGCCACCCGAGGCTCAAGTCCTGGAAAGTGCTTTCTCACTTTCTCTCACTCTCTCTGTCTCTCTCTCGTCAAATTTAAAAATAATAATAATAACAAATAACATTAAATAATCAAAATAATGATTATTTTAGAATTATTTATTTAATTTTATTTATCACTATTATTTTTTAATTTGCTACCAGGCACACATGTTCACCAGAGAGAGAAAATGAGACAGCAGGGAACCAGCAGTTAGCGTAATGGCTATGTCACTGGACTCCCACATAGTCGACCGTGGTTCGCGTCCTGGACCTGGTGGCTTAAAACTCACGCCGAGCGTGTGTGCGTGAGTGCCCAAGATCCCAAGAGGAGAATGGAGGAGCAGGGATTGTGGCGTGACTATGCCCTCTGGGGGGTGATTTCTCGCTTTCTGTCTCTATGTCTCTCTCTGTCTGGCGAGCGCACACGCCCTATAGTGAAAAACCTCTTCAAAAAAAAAAAAAAAGAAGTACATGTATACTCCAGAGAGACACAGAGACAGAGGGGGAAGCATCCCCAGATAGGACATGGTCCCACTGCAATCCCTTCTCCTCCATCTCTTTATCCTGTTGGGATTTGGGGCATGCATGCACATGTGCCTGGCATGTTTTTCTACTCATGCTCTGATATTTGTGCTACCCTTGGCCATGTGGGATCTAGCTCCCTTAACCACTAGGCTATGGGACTGGCCTTCAATTGCACACCGTAAATGGGTGAACAGTACTGTATGGGAACTAGATGTCAATAAAGCTGTTATCTAGAAACACACAGGAAAGGGGCCAGCTGCATGGCCTGTGGTTAAGGCAGCCTGATCCCACAGGGCTGACCATTTGGCTTGAGTCCTGAACATGGTGGTTTAAGAAACATGCCAGGCAAGTGTGTGCCCAAAATCCTGAAGGGAGGGAGAGATGGGGGAGAAGGGATTGCCGTGTGCCCGTTCCCCATGGAGGGTGCTTTCTTACTTTCCCTCACCATCTCTCTCTGTCTCTCTCTGGCAAGGGCATGTACCTTCTAGAAAAATGTAAACAATAAAAATAAATAAATACAAATCTCAGGAAAGGAATGTTTGTTTCCAGTGGCAACTGTAACAAATTCCCACAAACTTAGTGGCTTAAAACAACAGTAACTTAGTCTCTCACAGCTCTGGGTCCAAAATCAGCATCGGAGTCTCCCAGATCAAGGCCCCAGCAGGTCACATTCCCTGCAGAGGTTCCAGGGGAGAACGTGTCCCTTGCCTCTTCCACCCTCTGGTGGCCACATCACTCCAACCTTCAGCACCTGCGTCTTCAGGCCTGCCTTCTGCCCCTTCTTACCGCCTTTTCTCTGTGTGTCCGATCTTCCCTGCCCTTTCTCTCTTCCTTACTCTTTTTTATAATTTGCTACAGGGCATGTATGTTCACCAGAAAACCAGAGAGCCCGAGAAGAAAAGTGAGAAAGCACCTTCCAGAGGGGATGGCCACACCGCAATCCCTTCTCCTCCATTGTCCTCTGGGGATTTTAGGCACTCAGGCCCACATACATGCCTGACATAGTTTTCAAGCCATTAGGTCCAGGATTCAAACCGGGCAGTCAGTCATGTGGGACCTAGCATCTTCCACCTCTCCTGGCTGGCCCCCTCTGCTTCTTTCTTTTTTCCTAAAGAATTATTTACTTTATTTTATGTATTATTGTTGCTATTATTATTATTATTATTATTATTAATTTGCTGTAGGACATGTGCACTCATCAGAGAGAGAAGAAAAGTGAGAAACCAAGCTGCCAGCTCTGGAACTTGAACCACACTCAACCATATGGGAGTCCAGAGCCTTAACCACCCTGCCTCTGCTGGTCCCATCTTTTTCTTAAAAGGACACACGGGCTTGCATTTGGGGCCCACTCAGATCTCCATAATAATCTTCCCATCTCAAGACCTTTAACCTAATCATATCTACAAAGGCCCTTTTTCTCTATGCT